CTGGGAGCGAGGCTGCCGGGCCCTGCCTGCTCCCGGCACTGCCCTCTTGTTCTTCCTGGTCTGCACCCGCAAACCCCGTCCCCATTTCTCTCACCAGAAGGAGGACAGCATCATCGTAGGCACCTCAACCGGGGCTGGGAGCGAGGCTGCCGGGCCCTGCCTGCTCCCGGCACTGCCCTCTTGTTCTTCCTGGTCTGCACCCGCAAACCCCGTCCCCATTTCTCTCACCAGAAGGAGGACAGCATCATCGTAGGCACCTCAACCGGGGCCACCTACCAGTTTCAGCTGCTGCCAGTGAAAATGGGCAGCCTGGAGAAGCGCTGGGTGCGGACAAAGCCCTTCCAGCATCACACCCATGACGTGCGAGCTGTGGCGCACAGCTCGACGGCTCTCATCTCTGGGGGTAGGACTGGGCGCCTTCACGAGGAGGGCTTGGGTCTCTCCCCCTGGTATCAGTTTGGCTGATCTCTGCTTGGCTTCCAGGCCTGGACGCCCAGCTGGTGATCCGCCCACTGATGGAGAAGATGCAGAAGAAGGGCTATGACGCAGCGCTCCGCAAATTCACCTTCCCCCATGTGAGTGCCGCTCTGAGCGGGGTCTCGCGCCTGGCGAGGCAGGCTGGCAGGGCTGGCTCTTCCCACAGGAGAAGGCTGGCTCTCCCTGCCCCGCTGGGGTAGAAGCTGGCAAGCTCGTCTTGCTGGTCCTGCTGGGTCTCCATCTCTGGGCTCCCATCCCACGGGACCCAGTCCTTCGTCTCCCCCGCCCCGGAGTCGCCGGCACCCCAGGGCATTTCGGCTTTGGCCCAGCTCTTTCTGCCAGGCTGCAGCTTCATGTCAGTCTGCCCATTTCTGCACGCAGCGACGCCTCGTCTCCTGCGCCAGGAAAGCCCGGCTGCTCCTCTTCCAGTTCTCCCAGCACCTGGAGCTCTGGAGACTTGGCTCCACCGATGAGACTGGTGAGTCGCAAGGCCCAGCTCTCCAGTGCGAGCCCTGTGGCAGAGCCCATGCGGCCTGCAGGATTTTGGGCATGAACTGTCCTGCTGCTTGGGCAGTGGAGGGGTGGTTTAGCCCGGACCCCTTCTTCCCCACAGCCCTGCGCTGGCGTGATGGCCACGCGCAGGGCTGCGTTTCCCAGCGCGGTGCGTGCGCGGGCATGGGCTGCACAGCCGGTGTGAGCTCTGCTCGTGCTTCCAGCAGAGCTGGGCCAGCCCCTGGGGAGGTTGGGGAGGGGTCTGGGCTCTCCCTTGGGCACTGCTTCCCCGGGATCCCCAGCTGCTCAGCAGAACCCATGCGGTTTCTCCACCGTCACCGATGCGCTGCGTGTTTCTTCTTGTCCCAGGAAAGGACGGCGAGGTCCTTCCCTTGTGCCGCATGCCTGAGCACCTTGTGCAGCTCAAGAACAAGGTAGGGCTGAGCCAGGGCCGCGGTGCGCCCTGATGCCTCCCCCGCTGCAGGAGGGGGCTTGGCAGCCTCCGCTGTCCCTCTGACGGCTGAGCTGTGTGCACCAGGCTGCCGGGGGATCTGACAGGCCCTGCTCAGCCCCTCTGTGTTTCCAGGGTCCGGAGCACATCTACTGCAGCTGCGTCTCGCCCTGTGGCAGCTGGGTCTCCTACTCCACGGCCTCCCGCTTCCACCTCTACCGAGTGCAATACGAGGGTGACGGTGTCAGTATCAAGAAGGTGAGGAGGGTGACGGGCTGCCCTGCTGCCGGGGAGGATGGTGGGTGGCTGTGGGGTCTCGGGGGACCGGCATGGCCAATGTCGCTCACAGGGAGCGAGGGCGGCAGCGGTAGGTGGCTGCCAGCGCTCCTTTCTCCCCCCTTCAAGGTCCCGAAAGTGCCCAAGCTGGTGCTCCCAGCCTACCAGCTCCAGTTCTCCTCCGACTCCGGCAGCCTCTTCGTCGCCTCCGCTCCGTCCACGTCCTCCAGCTGCTGGAGCCGGGGGGCTGCAAACACCTGCACACCTTTCGGCCGCCCTCAGGTTCGGGCTGGTGGGGAGCCAGGGGCTTGCTGGGGGGGCTCCGAGTCCCATCCCTGCTGCAGGTGCAGAGGGCTGTGCAGGGCCGAGCGTGTCCCCCCGCTTTCCTGCCCTGGGGTGTGTGGGTCCTTCCCCCCGGCAGCCTCTGCCCTGTGTCTGTGCTGCCCTCATGGCCTGAT